GTATGGGCACTGAGTGAGCTCCCTAGGTATGGGCACTGAGTGACCTCTCTGGGTATGGTCACTGAGTGACCTCCCTGGGTATGGGCACTGAGTGACCTCCCTGAGTATGGGCACTGAGTGACCTCCAAAGATATGGGCGTGGGTGTGTGTATGTGCACCTCATCATTAAACATTTTTGACCTCATTGCAATAAAAGACGTATGAAACAAGGGTTATCTGGAATGTTGATCAATTAGAAAAATGTGTTCTAATTTTGATTTTCAGGTTTCAAGGAGATTCGATGGAACTGTACCTTACATGGATTTCCTGGGTAGATACTGCAGACCCTGGACTGTGAACAGCAGGTATGTCGCTGGTAGGCAGGGCTTATAAACTGACAAGAGGTTATCTTTCATTTAGACTGGTTAGTAATTCCCACATTATCATTCCTATATACTCGTGAAGACATTGAAAAGGATTATTTTTCTGAGCAAAGATCCTACATTTTAATTTGACATTAACATCAATCAAACATGATATCAAATAAAAATGCTAGCTGTTACTGTACAGAAGGTACTCGTTTTACCTAGAACAAGAGTCCCGTGGTGTTTGTTAATGAGTGAGAAATATTTTTCCTATTCACGGTGATGTTGAATTCTGCCTGAATCTTGAGGCCACGTGACTAATGTTGGAGACGGCAGCTGGCCGTGAACGTGCCCTTCCCTGAGCTGGTGGCAGGAGTGTCAGGGGAGTGTGCGTATTCTAATCGACATGGCGGTTCTGTGGAATCGCCTGAGTGCTTTGTTTCTCCCGTTTTAACAAAACAAGGCAGTGCTATAGTTTTATATAGTTTATATAGTTTGCCAAGACGCACGTTCAACACAAACAATGCGCAAAAGGAAAAGTTTCGTATTGAATAACTGAATGGGAAACCCAGGCAGACAGCATCTTGCCTGCTTTTGCAAAGGAAGGCTGGCCTTATTTTGCAGTGAGGCGAGAGACACCCCTGGCCACTCCTTCTTCAGCTGTGTCCTTCTGTTGTAAGAGATGTCTGTTAGCAAGGTGACTTTCTGAAAATCCGTGGTTTCAGAATGTGGGACAGCTGCAGTTTCCACTCGGGCTGACAGTGAAGCTGATAAAGTCCCCAGGACTGTGCACACACAAGGCTGATGTCTCCTGCTTTTCCCCAGGTGCAGTTCGAGCAGAGCTAACCGGTCTATGACTCTTGTGGAGTTACAGCGTCGGCTCAAAGATAAGGTTAGGAAGTGTTTTTACATTCTGTGATCCATTGGAAACAAACATACCATTAACAACGTTACAACGTAGAAAGAACAATGTCAGTTTAACAATGTAATCATTATTCCAACACTCTATTATTAAGAAACATCATAAACATGTGTTTGTGAATCTGGTGACCTGTCTTGCAAATTCATACAGAATTTATGATTTATTATCTACTCAGTGTTAATAATTTCAGAGCTGCCTAGATGTGCAGCTTTGCAGCACATTTGCTACAAATATCATTATAATAACTCTCCTTCTGTTTTCAAATCTTTAGGTCCCAAGAGACTTAAACGTATTTCTTTTCAATTTTCATGTAAAAGCTACATATAACTTCGGGCACTGTGATGGGGCTCAGTGAATATTAAGTAGCACTACCAAGCCCCATGTGTCTATATATAGGTTCACAGTTGTTATTCTGTATGTAAGTAAGCCTGACATGAAACAGTTGAATTTGTTAAATGAAACTAGAGGATGATGTAATACCCCGGAGAAGTACTATTCAGAGATTTTGTAATTAATAAAAGTCTTACAGATTAATATTTATACAGGTACAAAACACAGGGATACTAACTACCTAATTTATTTGGCTATATACCTCTTAATTAATTACTGGTGCTCAAGGTGTGGCACCCTTGCTGGGACTGGAGCTCTTTTTAATGAGCAGAGCCTGAGGTGTGAAACCTGCTCCTGTCGTCCCTGGGCCCCCCGTCAACAAGCCCAGCCGCTGAGGCGGGACTGTAGCAGGTGCAGCAGGAAGAGGCCTGCATGCTGACAGAGTAGAGAGGTGGTTAAGATACAGACTCTGAGTCCCTTTTACCGCCATGACTCCAGAACAACAGCAACAGCAACAGCAACAGCAACAGGAACAGCAACAACAACAACAACAACAACAACAACAGCTTCTAGCATTATTTTGCTCTTCTCATTCCAAATGATGCCAAGGCATTTTATATATATATAATCCATTATACACCAACAGCCCCACTACATGGTAGATCAGGGGAAGTAGTGGGAGGCTGCCTCACCAATGTAATTAAGGGGGAACTTTAATGAAGACAGATTATACAAGACCGGAGTGGAGTTCAGCCAGGATGCTAAGGTTAATACCCTTAGTCTTACGAACAGTGCTCTGGGATCATTAATAGCCCAATAGTCAGGAGTTGGTTTAACAGAAAGATGGCAGCTCATCCCGTGCAGAGGCTCCTCTCTCACTGTAAAGGATGTCCTGGGCTGACCTAAATTTGTGGATCTTGGAAGGCCAACAGCATTTTGCGAAGACAAATCTAACACATCTGCTGCAATCAAACTGAATCAGCCATTTCATATTGTCTACAGCAATAACAGCCATAAACTAGGCCTTAAGAACTACTGTAATTTGTAATGACATTTGTTTACTTCGGAGCTGTGTAGTAATAAAATGATGTGACTGTTAGTGATATGTGCTTTTTACAGTTTTGCACTACTTTTTATCAAACCAGAGTCAGATTGAAAAACTTTCACTTACTGACAGTGTTGATCAGAAACTGCTTCTCCTGCGACTGAATAGAAATCTGTGGCGCTGTAGAAGGCGGCTTGGTTGTTGTTCTCTGAAATAATTGAGGTGTGTTCCACTGTGTTCCACGCTTAGCAAGCATTCCCATGAGGATAGAGGTGAGCGTCCCTGCCTGCCGTGCGGGAGGCCCGGGTTAGAATCCCTCACGGAGAGGCCGATGGCTTGAGGGCGGTGTGGCATCTGGTGGTGGGCGGTAAAAGACCAGCACTGGCTTCTCCTGCCGCCCTCAGAGGGCAGGGCACACGTGCAGCCTGCACGAGAGGGCAGAGTCGCTCGTGAAGGCGAGCCGCTGGCAGGTGGGCGGGACACAGGAGTCTGTCAACACTTCCTCATTCTCCCCTGTGTGCGGCTGCAGGCTTCATAGCCATGAACTACTGAGGCTGTAACAAAAAAGTAATTGGTGATTCCAAAACCCCAGGCATGCAACAGCTTTAGCAGGTTCGTGTCTGTTATAAAAGATACCTGTCAGCATCAGACATTTAAGGGAGAAATTCAGAAAAGACGTAAAGGGAAGGTGGCAGTGTAAGATGGCAATGGGATCGGTGTCAATTAAGGGTTTAAGCCACCATAGGGTGCTAGTGAGTCACTCCAGTGGCATGAATGTAGAAATGCTTTAATATCACATAGGCATGAGGTTATTAAACAACTGGCCTCACTGATGTGAAGCCCAAACATCTTTTATAAGGTCAAGGAAGTATGTAGAGCAGGTCAACTCAGGGGAGTTGGACCCTTGCTGTCAAGGCTATCAGCAAGCACCAGAGATCACTGGGAGTGTGGTGGTCAGCTCACTAGGGCCCATGTCCAGCGGTGAGACCCATGTTAACATCATACCCCGGAAGGGGCAGGTTCCAGCACACTCCCTGAGGGCCTTGAGCTACATTACAAGCAGCCTGCTCTGGGGAGAGAGTAGGGCTGTCTGAGCGAAGGAGACTTCGTGGGGAGGTGTCTATGTGTGTCTCGTGAGGAGACACTCATAATGGTAACCAGTTAAACTCCCAGGTTAGGAGTGAGCAGGCTGGGAGTAGGGGGACCTCTAGACATAGGTCATCAAGATCAGGGGAGGCTCGTACCGGAGTAACAGCCTTGGTAGTTTCTGTGTCGGCTCACCGATAAAATGAAGAGGGGTGTAGAGTGAGACTGGCCGAATGGAATCGACCGGGACAAAATACTTGCCAGCACTACTTGAAACACAGGGACCCGCTTGGATACAATAAGGTTACAACGGTGTTAATGTGGCAGACTTCCCCCACGCTCCGCTACCATGAAAAGGGATCTGTTTAATCTGGTGAAGCAGTGGGATAGCGCCCCTACCGGTAGCTATGTGTGCTGCTTGAAAAACTTGGAATGTCATACCCACTTATGTAGGAAATCCCATTTAAATTGTACAGCAAGGCGAGTGACTGTAACTCATGTCACGAGGGGAAGTGAGGACTGAACACAAGAGCAGGATAAGGTGTGAGTAGCAACCTAAAACATCCTTAGAAAGAAACTAAAAGCTGCTTTACCTGACACTTCACTGAGCGCAAGTGGGCTGAGCGATGTCACTGTGGCTCAGGATCTGCGCCTGTGGCTGGAAGGTTGCTGGTTCAAATCCCGTGGCCAGCAGAGGAATCCTACTCCGTTGGGGCCCTGAGCAAGGCCCTTCACCCCCAGCTGCTCCAGGGGTGCTGTATAAATGGCTGACCCTGCGCTCTGACCCCCAGCTACTCTCCCTGTCTGTGTGTCTCAGGGAGAGCAAGCTGGGGTCTGCGAAAAGACAAATTCCTCATGCAAGAAATTGTATCTGACCAATAAAGTGATCTTCTCATCTTCAAAATAGAAGAGATGACCTCTGATTGGGAAATTGCTTGCTCTTCTAGACTCAGTTTGGGAAGGAAGGGAATGTGCAGTATGTGATTTGTCTGTCAGGAAGGAGGAGGTCACATTGCAGAGAAACAGGTTATCTGTTAGTCAGGTAGTAGCCTGGAAATCTGGCTGAGTTGCTCAGGGCTTCCCCATACACTAGTGATGTCGAGGGGCAGCGCCAGAGATCCGAAAGGCAAGTTGTTTAATAACCTCATGCTGATGTGATATTCACGCATTCCTGCTTACCTCTGGAGTGTCTCACCAGCTCCATCTGGTGGCTTTCTGTAACTGACACTCCAGACCCGTTGCCCTCTTACAGGCAGGCAAACCACTGTTTACTTCAAGCCCTGATGAATTTACATTATGGTAAAGGAATTTGCTATGTATGCTAGGTTCCATCGCAAGTATGAAGACATTAGTCCACCTTAAATCTAATGGACGAATGAGCAGCTGAATACTTTGACTGACATGAATTTAAGGTGGTCAAAAGGAGGCCTTGTAGACGTGAATGGGCTCTAACAGGCCTGATCCCTGTGTCACCGTGTGATTAATGACTTATCAGTTGTTTAATGGGTAAGATTTTTCTTAACCCTTTAATTGTCACTCATGGAGATACCACTTAGACATTCCATCCTGGTCAAGAAGATGTAATATTTTTCAAAAATAAAAATTGTCAAGGTGATCTTCAACATTACCATCTAAAACTGAGTTTCTTACATTTGAGCTAGGAGGGCCGAATTAACGAATGGCCTCCTCTCATCTTTCTTAGAAATAAACTAAAAGCTGCTATAGCTGACACTTCACTGAGCGCAAGTGGGCGGAGCGGTGTCACTGTGGCTCAGGATCTGCGCCTGTGGCTGGAAGGTTGCCAGTTCAAATCCTGAGGCCGGCACAGGAATCCTACTCCACTGGGGCCCTGAGCAAGGCCCTTCACCCCAACTGCTCCAGGGGTGCTGTATAAAGGGCTGACCCTGCGCTCTGACCCCCAGCTTCTCTCTCTGTCTGTGTGTCTCATGGAGAGCAAGCTGGGGTCTGTGAAAAGATAAATTCCTAAGGCAAGAAATTGTATATGGCCAATAAAGTGATCTCTCTCTCTCTTAAAGTGAGAAATTTGTTTTCAAATGGTGAACGTTTGATAGCCAATGGAATGGACAGACAAAGGGTTAATCAGAATGATTACAGAGACATTTGGGAGTAAATATAAATCAGCTGTAGTTTTAGTAGTTTTTTGAGGTTTTCAGCACAAACAATGGGAGTCCCCCTTTTTAGTTTTAAAAATGGTTCATAAGTTAGGTATTCCAGAAAAGAGAGATTTCTTATAGTATTTGCAAACAAGCAAATGTCTCTCAGAAGTGTGAGTTAAAGGAAAAATATACTCAGATTTGAGAATAAATATTCTCAGATTTCAATGTTTTTCCTTTTATCGCGTACCAGTTTTTAGTTAAAAAAAATGAAGTGACAGAGGAAGGCTTCCACTCAAACACTCCTGTCTCCTGGTGGGATAGGAATGCTGGAGGGGAGCACTAGTTGATGTTTGGGAAGGAATGAGGTCAAATAAGATTCCATATTTCTTTTCTTCTTACTTATTACTGTGTTTGGACAATTGCTTCATTTTTTAATTCTTCCATTTTTTGGGTTCTTTAGCGCCTTTAAAATGACTGCGCCTGTTCATATGAGTGGATAATGGAAGCTGTGAAGTTGTTTGATGGCTTTCCTTATTGCTTGTTATTCTCATAAACAGCGCATTCTATCTTCATTTGCACATATCCTGTAGGTATGTATTGTGCTTGAGCTCATCACCTTGTTCTTCCGATGTGTAGTTACATAGTTGAGAAATCAACAAGCCGTCAGCACGGACTGTAAAATATTTTAATTAATTGCTGACTTTATTTGGAAATGAGTGGGGAGCTGCGTCAGTGTGGTTTGGCTACAAAGGAACAAGCGGAGGTTAACTCCACACTGAAAAGGAGAAAGAAGAGACACAGTGTTTCGGTTGTTAAGCTTTCTTTAGGCTGTTGACAGCTGAAAAACTCTGTGTTTCTCCTTTCTATTTCACAGCGGTCATTTGGCCCGCTTGTTCCTATATTTGGAAACTAAATTTGCAAAATAAAAACATGTGCAGATGTTAATTGCAATATACTGGATCTGGTTCTGTTTCTGCTTTTAACTAGATTGCTGGTTAATTGTTAATTAATTGTCAGTGCTGTTAATTGATAAAATCTTTGTGGAAATTCCTGTTTTACACAAAGGAATACGATTAATAAACATATAGAGCACTTGTTTCAGACTGTAGATTCCTTCTGACATTGCTAAGCAGCCAATCTGCATTCTCCAATGAGAAAACAACAATGAAATGAAAAAGCTTTTTATTTTATTTTATTTTTGAAATCCTGTCGTAGTGCGATTGCTTTCTGCTGATTTCCAGTCCGTGTCATGGTGGATTTGTTTGTAGCGAGCTGTGTGATAATGTACCCAAAACGCAGACACACCGTGTTTGGATTATCTACCCCCTTTCACGGCACTGGCCCTGACTCTGCTGTCTTCAGCTTGTGATTCAGCGTGACGGCAGTGGTTTGCTCGTGGAGTGTGGTGCACACCGGATGGGAGGGAGAGGAGTGACACTCTCTAGGCCGCCTCTCCTGATTGTTTACAAGATGCTTTAGCGGTTTGCCTTAGAGAGCAGAAAATTGATCACACTTGATAGCATCATAAATAACGCCGGAGATAAAAAAGACCTTGATGTCTGAAATAGGCTGTTGCGGCGACCAGTCGCGGCCGTGCACTGATAAAATGTTTATCTATTGACAGGCAAGATGCAAGAAAAAAACCCTTAATGCTCCTGTATTTTTGTCAGTCCAGAAAGACCAGTTTACAGCGGCGTGCTTTTCACTTTTCCACACGGTCCTAGAGAGTTTCTTGGCTCTTGGAGTTTCTTGGATCACGCTGATAGCCGTTCGCCCTACAGCTCTTTGTGTGGGTTTTGAATATCGAATGATTTTTATTTAATTATCCTTAACTCCAGACTTTAATCCTTAACATATAATATTATGGTAAACAAACTCCAGCGTATTATTAATTAATAGCTGGAAGGGTAACTAAACAGAGCCCAGAACTGCTCTGTGCCAGGCATGGTGCCAGGCCTGTAGCCCTGCCAGCTTCTGCAGCTGCTGAATGGGAAACTGGCATCATCAGAGTGAAGAATTACATTAGGAGAAGAGCAAGAATGCGTGGAGAGTGAACAGAGATAAGATTTAGCAGATGAGATTAGATAGTGGTGTTTCAGCTCATTAATTGTCTAAGATATCCTTGCCGCTTTGTTATTCTAATATATTTTTAATTAGTGCTTCCAGAACCTTGGTGGAAGAATGCAGGTATGGCTTATAAAAGTGCCGTGATATGGCCTTTCTCAATTAAACCATTTCGAAGGCAGTGTGGTTTTTCAAGAAAACGACTTTCCGTGGTGTTTTAAATTTGTTATGTGTGAAAGTAGCAGAATGTCTTATTTAAAATGCAGAACAACAATCCTTTGGCAAGAACATTGAGAAAAGTTACAGATGAGAAGAGGCCGTCATCTGGCCCATCAAGCTCTTTTGGCTGCAAGTGAAGAGCCTTCCTAAGGTGTTTCATTTTGTGAAATTATAAAATGAAGCATGCTCATTTTTAAACTAAACGTATTACATTAAACTTTAATGTTCAAACTCCAGACTTCTAAGGGTAATGTAAGTTACAGTAAATGTCCACAGAAGCTAAAGAGAAAAGACTGAAATATGTTGATTGCATAAGTATTCAGATTTGTGAACTCAATATTTGGTGGGAGCATTTCGGGCAGAAATTATAGCCTCAAGTCTTTTTGGGACTCTACCAACTTTGCCCACTAGCCTGGTGCAAGTTATTATCCTTTATAGAACTTGATTCCTGAAATGTTTGGTAAACTTCTTGTTCCGCATGGTTGAATCTTTGCTTGAAATTCTCTGCCTGACTGAGGAACCTACAGAGACAGGTGTAGTAATTCTGACATTAAAAAAACACTATTATTGCAAACACACTGAGGCCACCCAGGTAATTGTGATCTCGGTAAGGTAATTTTGTGCACTTAAATTAATTTAGGTTTGTCACACCAAAGTATAAACAAATATTTATGTTATCTGGAATTCCCATTTTTCTCTCATATTAAATATCTATTCACGTTTCTCTTGTTTACATTGAATGTGTGGAGTTGGTTGCATGGTTCACAATTACCAGTTGCTAAGTGTCATGACTATAAACTTTAAAGCAGCAGAATCTACAATCCAGAACCTAAACACCTTTGCAACACAATTTTATCCACTCTCATTCTCCAGATTAAAGATGCAGAATGTCACAGTATTGCTGAAGCTGTCCAATGCTGTTTTTAATACTGAGTGATGTGGTTATCTGTACTTCTTAAGTAGTTTGAATGTGCTGTTAAAAAAGGAACGGATGCAGATTTAGGCGAACAAGACGTTTTGAAAAGCAGGAGAACTTGCATCTGTTCCAGGCAAAAGCAAAATACAGTACATTTTCAGCGTGTCTGCTTTAATTACCACATTTATAGCCCTGTGTCTTAATGCAAATAGTGTGATATTTTACAAATCTTTTATAAAAAGAGGCTTCTGACTCAGTCCCTCAGTAGCGGAAGTTCACCCTTCATGAAGTTGCCTCTGGGTTGATGATGGGCTGCGATGGTAGATGGCGATAGACTGTAAAAGCTGATAAAGTAATCTCTTATTCATGTCATGGAATGTGTAGGAAAGCATTGCACTCTAGCAGAAGACCCTGGCAGCGTTTCCAACAATCCTGCACGCAAAGGAAAATCTTTTAAACAGTGTAAGAAAGTCATTCCCCTGAGTGGTGCATGGTACTTAGTATATTCAGTGTGTGTGTTCTTTTCCTGTTCGGTGTCCTGGGGCCTCGACAGCAGTGTGTATGCTGATTTTTAATGGGCTGTGCATGCTTGCAGTGTCTGTCTTCGCCCCTCTGCAGAAATCGAGGGACTGCTCTGCAAATATCTCTGCACCTCTTGAGTTTCATACCACAGCTCTGTGCTAAAGTCCCTTTATTATCAGTGATGTGTCAAGTGAAGATTTATTTCTTGTAGGGCCCTGGTGTGCAGTTGTTACATGCTTTTCACATTTGAAAACATATTTTTGCATGTTTATATACAGTATATGAAATGCCATACATGCACTTACAATGGAGCGGAGCGGTGTCACTGTGGCTCAGGATCAGCGCCTGTGGCTGGAAGGTTGACGGTTCAAATCCCGTGGCTGGCAGAGGAATCCTACTCCGTTGGGCCCCTGAGCAAGGCCCTTAACCCCAACTTCTCCAGGGGGCGCCGTATAAACGGCTGACCCTGCGCTCTGACCCCCAGCTTCTCTCCCTGTCTGTGTGTCTCATGGAGAGCAAGCTGGGGTCTGCGAAGTGACAAATTCCTAATACAAGAAATTGTATAGGGCCAATAAAGTGATCTGATCTCAATGAACAAGCTTGACAGAGGGTAAGACAAACATTACATAGCATGAAAAACAAAGACTGAAACACACCAGTGCCTGGCTGACTGCTCTGATGTTTTATTTATTCATTTTTGGATTTTACTTTACCTCCTTAGGTTGGTACCAATTTAAGAAACATCACAAGGGCCTTTCGACTCTTTGACTACAACCAGGATGGCCTGATCCAGCACCACGAGCTCAGGCGAGTTCTGGAGAGCTACTGCTTCCCGATGAGCGACAAGGAGTTTGGCCGGTAAGCGTGACTAGTGGGTGAGAGGAACTGTTTAGTCTTTCATGGTCACAACACTGTTTAGAAGCTCTTTTAGACCTTTAGCAATAACTTCTTAAGATCTGATTGTTATCGGCGTCGGGAGGTTTGTTGCCACACTTGGCTCTGTGCTCTTGGTATTTTTAGTCTCACAGCTATGGGCACTTCAGCCCATGTGGTGGTTAATCTTTGGAGTTAATTAACAGATTGTGGGAATGTGGGATGGGCTAGATTGGCAGGAGGTGAAGAGGGCAGTTTGTCCAAGTGTTTGCTTTGTCTTTTTAATCTGGCTGCATGGAAGCGTGGCCTGTACCGTGCTGAGAGATGGAGTGACACTTCTTTCGATCTTACTGCCAGGTTGCTTTTCAATCAGTGCCGGGTACATCTGGAGGCGAGAGACTGAAGGGCCTCTCTGTGTTCGAAAGTTAGCTCATGTGTATGCAGGATCAGGGTTTGTGCTACAAGTATATGCAGTAAATACCGTTTAGACTTTTCACAAACCGATGCCGTACAGACCTTCTTCTCATTGGAACCTAAGAAAGGTTATATATTCATGTGTACTGAATATTAATACGAAAATATGTCGTGGCTGCTAACTGCTGTCTTTATAATAGCAAAAAGGTGGAATGAGAGTAGTTAATAGACAGTTCCTTCTCCTGTACTGATATGATTAGAAGACGAGCTGGTCAATATTCATATCCATAATTCAATAAGAAGTAAGTGTACAGGTGTTGGAGGGACATCCTCTCTTCCTTACCGTTGACGTGTTGGAGATGTTATTTGCCACCGCGCTCATTTCCTGGGAGTTGTCCCCACAGGGCAGAAACAAAGCTGGAACTGTGCAGAACCTAGAATCTTTCCCTTCCTGGAAAATAACATAACATGACAACATAATCGGTGCTAACCAGGCTACTGCTGTGGCGCCTTGATGCTGTGATTTTTAATGTTCCAGAAAGTACACGCGTTCAGAAAGGACCTGTTAATTCAGTGCTGGTGGTAAGAGCTGAGGATTGCTAGGACCTCATGTTCGGTGCTGCTGCCCTCCCCGTCTCTGCTGTAGGACATGGCCGAACCGCAGCTCAGCCTGCCTCCTGTCCTCTGAAACGAGTTTCTGTGTTCGAAAACATTGCAGCGACTTGTTGCCATTTTGTGTCTTCCCAAGGCTTTGGTCCCATTATAGCCAGAATAACTCGGGGACGCTGTCCTACAAGGAGTTCCTGGAGAAGCTCAGCCTCGGCACTGGGGACAGCAGACAGCCCGTGCCTGAGAGCACTCAGCTAGGTAAGCAAATCAACATTAAAAATCACCGTTAACAAGATGGAAAAGACCAACTTTGATTCTTCCTGGCTTGAAGGGGTGGGTTTTGTGGGCAGCAGTGTTGAAGGCTCTGAACCCACAGCAGGAAGGTCGTGGGCTCAGATCCTGGCTGGAAGGCCTCAGCCCCAAGGCTCTTCACTCGGATGGCTCCAGGAAGAAGCCCTGCTGAATGTAGTGGGTCACTGTGTGCGCAGCTCGTCAGTGTAATGAAATTGAGTTCCCTGTTTCTGGCAGTGATGCAGCTGAAATCATCTGAAATCACCTAAGCAGATTCCACGTTTAATCAATGCCTGTTCAGTCCAATGAGCTGACCAAGCTTTTATCCCTTTTAATTTCACGTTGAAACTAAAACTCAGCCGCTGCAAATCTCTCTTATTTTTGTTCACAGAAAATGAAACAAAAGGCGTTCATTTCTTATGGGTTAGTTTAATTCTTAAGGACTCTCTTTCACCAAACAGCACATCTTATAAATAAGAATAAATTAGAAACATAATTGGATGTTTTCTCAGTTAATTACTCACACAGATTACATACACCTCCTCCTCACACCTGTTGTATACTAGGCTGGTTTATTCACCAGCCCTGGGGTCAGTTCCAGTTTTACAAACTCCAGTTCCCTCCTCCCAACTGGACGCCTTGTTACAGCAAGAAAAGACATTTCTTTTTTGCGTCCAATGGCAGTGGAACTGTTCTGAAGAGGGTAATGGACTGACCACTGACCACAACCGATTTCACCAGCTGTAACACAGGAGCTTTCTCACATTACCGCCTCTCCGTGCGTGAGAGGGCAGAGCACGCGGTGGGGGGGAGTGGTCGATCCTGTTGTCCTGCTACGGTGTGGACCTGTTAGGGGAAATCTTACCACTGCATTGAATGCTGTTTGCAGTTCTGAACTGGGAAGCTGTTCATCGAGATCAGGAGAACCAACTTCGAAACTCCACACAGATGACCCAGTGCCAAAATCCCCCCTGTGAAGGACTGACATTTGACGACGTTCGGACGAGCTTCTGGAACAAAGTGAGTTTCTGTGACTTCTGTGTATATATACAGTACCAGTGTGCAAGTTCTCCTTGGTTGTACCATACTTGTGCATGAACTTTGTTCCCCCACGGTTGTTGTACTGTCCTAGCCACGCTTTAAAGCGTTTCTATCATGACCTCCCTCGTTAATTTTACAGTTCAGTCTCCGTACCCTAACTGGGGCTCGCTGTGGTATAGTTTTCTACTGGACTTGCTGTATGAGTGGCTGAAGTCACACGCGGCACCACTGCGTCATCCGAGTGCAGCAAACAGACAAAACCTGGAACACCTCCAGCGCCGACATTCCAGAAAGAGACGCTAATCGGTGAAAGATATGCATTTGACAGAGAACAGTTTTAATTAAAATGTTTTGCCCAGAAAATAGTCTCCTGAGCAGTCTTGTTAATTACAGCTAATTTCTGCTAAGGTAGCTAACAAAGCACCTCCAAACGGTAGGCCGTCATTGCCATGGCAACAGCAGAGCGTTCGAGCCCTTGCGTCACGTGACCCTCGGCGCTGCTCCTGGTGGGCGCAGGATGGTGTCTCTCTCCCGTGCGCCTCAGGACACTTGTTTGTTAGCTGCTCACTGTTCTTGCCCTGCTCTCAATGGGGCCTAGTTCACAGTTTTGCCAAAGCCCCATTTCTGTTTCATAATACACTGTGACACGAGCTGTATTAGAAAGGTGATAATACAGTGACACAATTCTGTTCGAGTGCTTTTCAGGAAACTCAGTTTGTTCTACAACAGAGTAAGAGTAAAACACAAAACAGAAGTAAAAAGAAGGAAAGGTAATTGGTGAATGAGTAATTGGTAAATCAGTTTTAGTTAAAAACCAGACATTTTAAATGTCAAGAGTGGCAGAGTCTGTAACTGGAATGAGTTCCTCAGACTTGTTGCTGTACATGAGAAGCTTTGTCCCCACTGTGTGGAGGCTGGTCTTGGACAGAGAGAGGAGACTCTGTCCCACTGTGTGTGTCTGGTCTTGGGCAGAGAGAGGAGACTGTCCCACTGTGTGAGTCTGGTCTTGGACAGAGAGAGGAGACTGT